GGAGTCTGATTGCTCTTCTGATTAGGAAACTCCTGCTAATTTTTTATTCTTGACCTTGTTCTTGTGCCAATATTGTCTTTAGTCTGAAATAGTCTTTTTACCGTCCTGATATATTTATAGAGAGCTATCATATTCACCATCAGCCTTTATTTTGCTGCACTAAACAAGCTAAGGTCTTTTAGCCTTCTCTTGTAAGATAGGGTCTCCATTACCCTGATCACCCTAGTAGTCCTTCTCTGCACCTGTTCCAGTTCCAGAATCACAGAGGAAATTTTCCAATGTGCTATTATTTAAAAAAATAGAGATGAGTTCACAAGGGGCAAATGAAATTAACATTTTAATAGCATCAAAGACCATGAGCTTCCAGAGAGAGGTCAGAGACAAAATCCAAGCAGAAGAGGCTTAGCAGCACAGTTTTATGCTTGAGGCAGTGCTGGCTCCTGCTGTGCCGGTTGTGGCTATCAGCTGCTGCTGTGACAATGACTGTTTTTGTGCCTCTCCACAAAGGTGGTGCCTGGGGCTGCTGCCCTGGCCATCTTCCCTTAGTTATACTATTGCCAAAGAGCCTTCCAGTTTAGTTCTAAGGTGGGCTTGGACTTAACAACATGATCAGGAAGGAGTGAGAGGATAGGCAAGGGGTACCTCAATAAGTTCAGCTGGTTAGTGCGTACCAGGATACAGAATGTAATATTTTGGCTTTGTCAAACAAACAAAAAAATTAATTGGTTAATTGTAGGCTTAGCTGAAGCTACTAGAAGGGAACTAATTCTTAGCTAACACATGCCTGGTGGAGGTAGCAATGCTATGTAAATACCTTTACTGCAATGTTTTGCGACTATCCCTTCCAAATTCTTCCCAAGTCATTTCAAAGGAGAGAGCAGATTGTTAGTTTTACAGTAAGCCCAGTGCATGTTGGGATGGGACTCTGAGACTTTAGTCAGTGTTCAGTGAATATTCAGGCAGTGCAAACACAATCAGCATACCTCCCTGCCTCACTACTCATTCTCAGCTTTTTTTTAAGGTGTTCCCTGTCAACTGGGACACAACCAATAGTTCTGGGAACTGAGTCATAGTATCAAATGTGCCATGCTTATCTGTTGAAACAACATAATTCTTAGATGGAAGTAGCTATCAACATTTCCAGTGTTGTCCATTTCCAGATTGTTATTTCCAAGACAACAGAAACATCTATGATGATGTATTCAGAGATCAGGAAGTAATAATAAATTATGATCCCTAGGGGTTTTGGAAATGCAATTAAAATTTGTGTTCTGCAACTATAATGCAGATGGTCTTGCTGGTTCTGTTTAAATGAATGTAAAGGCAATGAACTCTTGAAAGAAATGGTCATCCAGTAATGGGTGATCACTTCCCTATTCACAAATGCAAGCACACAGAAACATCACAGTATAAAACTCGTGTGTTGTGGCACATGCTTTGATTTTAAAAGTCTTAAATCATGACTACTTTTAATCAGTAAAGCTAAAATACATCACTTTTGCTGCAAGAGGAGGGCCACACTAGCAGATTTATCTAAAACTAGTTTTAAAAGGTCAAACAAGAGCCAGCCCTTGGGTAAGCATTTCTGTAACAGTTTGAATCTGGATATGTTGGTTACAGGTGAAACCTGTAAATAGGTTTAAGAATGTCTGTGCACAAACTTACTTATATTTGTTTAACTAAATGAAATTTAGCCCCACCCTGTCAGTTAAGCCAACAAAATTGTCTGTGTAAATTGTTTTCTTGCTAATTAAAGTAGCCTATTTTCCTTCTATATAAAGATAATAAAGATAGCCACAGGTTAACACTACAACTTTGACATACAAGCATCCCTTTGGGCTTCAGTTCATGCATAAACTTCTTGTAGGTCAGCACACAAGAGACTCATTCTTTACAAGGATAGGACATGCTTGTGGTTTTCTTTTTTTCCAGTAAACTAGACCTTTCCCTGTCGTCTTCCCTCCGGAAATTGTAACACAACATAAATGAATTCTCCCTGTAACTGCAGCCTCAGCCATATGTGCTACCGGAGGGAAGGACAGAGCTAAATGCCAGCAGATGAACAAGGATGATTTAACAGCAGCAGCATTCAGAAGAGAGCTGAGAAGAAATTAAACATCTCAAGAGAAGTTGCCTTATAAGTACCCTCTATATTACACCTTTTTCCTCTCTTTCATGCTATGACTGTCTGCTACTTTGTGCACAGTGTCTAGCGTAATGAGGCCCTGTTCTTAGATAGTGCCTAGGCATCACTACAATAAATATAATTAATAATAAGAGATTGGAGTACCTGTGCAAGTTGATTCCTGGACCTTTAAGTCTGCAGGGACCAAATGAGCCATCTGTTTGGACCAAAGTTAACACAGGGACTCAGTTGGGCAGTTCACTATTCCAGGAGTTTTTCTCCACAAGCCTTTAACTTAATAACTGTCAGTTTTTAATTACATTATGTGTATTATTTGTTAGTGTACATAACAAATAATGCACAGAAGTCCAATAGAGGTAGATCAAGTTTCTACCTCTATTGGATTTAACTAGCAGAATATTTAAATTAATTCACAGAACATTTAAGAACTAACTGCATTCACATCTGTACCACCCATATCAAATACTCGGACAGCCTCTCAAGTAACAAAGCTTTATGGCCCATCAGATTTTCCAATGCTGCTAAGTTCTGTTCTCTACTTATTGCATTTAAAAACAGAGCAACAGCCATGACCAGAAGAGGTATACTTATAACTATACTTATAACCAGTAGGGGTGTGCAAAGTGGGCCCTATTCGATTTGGATTTGGATTTGGATTCGGCCCAAATCAGGGACAGTGATTCAATTCATTGATTCAGATCACTGTCCCTGATTCGATTCCGCTGAATCCGAATGTGTCTACATACCTCGAGGTACCAGGTGCACCTTGTGATTGCTGCGGTGCTGGGGTGGATGGAGTGTCCCATAGGAGTGCGGGGGGCCCTCCACATTCTCCGCAGCGAAACTGAAAGCTCTGCCACACCCCCCTGGGTGGGCAATTGGCCACAGGGGGACCCCAGGTGCCCCCCCCAGACCCAGGAGGCACCTGTCGCTGAGATGGAGAGGTCCGGGGGGGGGGGGGCCCTAGCATGCTCCCTGGTGGACTCAGAAGTGCTTTTGGTCCACTTCTGGGTCTTTTGGGGAGTGCAAGGGGGGGACCCCCACACACCCCTGGCTCAGCAACTGGCCACAGGGGGAACCCAGGTGCCCCCCAGACCCAGGAGGCACCAGTCACTGAGCTTGGGGGGCTTGGGGGAGGGGTCCCCAGCATGCTCCCTGGAGGACCCAGAAGTGGACTGGAAGTGCTCCTGGTCCACTTCCGGGTCTGCTGCCCAGTGAACTGGGGAGCCCCCTGCACTCCTGTGGGGCATTTCATCTGCCCCAGCACTGCAGGATTCATGAGCCAAAACATTTAAAGCTGTGTCTATGTCTGAATCGCTGAATCTTTCCAAATCTCTCTGAATTGATTTAGAGGGTTCTGATTTGATTCAGATAGATTAAAGGGTCCTCTGATTCAATTCAATGAGGAGATTCAGCTACCAAATCAGGCCAAATCTCTGCTGAATTGAATCAGGGACCGAAGTTTTGCACAGCCCTAATAACCAGGGATCCAGGCTTTCTGTTCACTACAGAAAAATGTGGTAAAACCCAGATTTTCTCCTTTAAGGGAGAAAAACATGGGAAATAGTGCATTTTCCCTTGCAGGCTGGCAGAGATCTAATAAACTGATATTTTTGTTCAAATACAACTTCTGTTTCCTTATTGCCTTCATTATGTCTGCACAGCTATCTCAGTGTATAAGTACGTCCCCAGATAATCCAGATAGCAATATCTTACAAGTCATTCTTGATCTATGCCACAAACTATATCACATATATCAAAGCATGAACTTCCATCACCCATGAAGAATGACAGTAAAATATTCTGGGAATGCATTAGGCTTAGAAGGAATCGTAATGACAACTGTCATGTTAGTTAACCTTCAAACACAAATACAGAGTTAGTCATCTTCACAGTGGATTGCTCAAAAAATTAATTATTATCATATTGGGCCACTTCTAGTTAATAAACCATGGAGACTAGAAATATTACACATTCAATTGCTTAAAGAAGTAGGATCCCAACCAATCTTTACAACTTCACTATCCAAGTACCATAGAATTGTCACTGCCAAAGCAAAGCTCACTCACTGAGGACATCTAAAGGATATCTAGCTATAACTACTGCAGTGCATACTGGTGCATACTGGTTTACCCAGCTTTTCTACATAAACTTATTTTTTTATTTTCTGTGGAATCCGAGATGCTTACATTATAGCACAACTCCAAGCCAACAATTCAAGAGTCAGGAAAGACAACAAATATCACAAGACATGCAATGGAACTGCAAGAGTCAAAAACAATCCTTCATAGATTTGAATGTCAAAAAGCATTATTAGATCATCTAGACATGTAGTCTGTAGACCCTTGGGGGTCCACAGACTATGTCTAAGGGGTTTGCAAAAGATGACTACGATCAATCAAAAGTATGTGAATAACCACACTTACAATTCAAAGGGGTCCACACCTCCATTCAAAATTTCCGAAGGGGTCCACAAATGAAAGGTTGAAAATCTCTGATCTAGACTGACCTGACGATGAATCTGTTCTATACCAAAATTCCCTTGTGATATCAGTTTATGGCCTCCAATGTAGTCACTCTGGAGAGAGACCTGCCCACAACACACGCTTCTGTGGTATCCCGTTTAATGACCATGGTAGAATAAGTAAGTGCTCTTGGCACATTCACAGATTCTAAAAAAGTTTCCTCATCTCAAAGGACTAAAGAGTGTTAAACACCAATTACTGGCCCACACGCTTGTGCTGTAGCTACTGGGATGAGTCACCTGTGGGAAGTTTATTATGCATGCAAAACTTTCCAGGTGGGAGGTTTAGCATTATCATTTAATAATTTACTTGACATAATGTATTGCGAGCTTTGGAAGGGAGGTTTTTCCTGGCATCCAGGTTCTCTGTCGCTGTCAAGAGACAACAGAACTATTTTCTCTAGACAGGTAAATGAGAGAGGAGGAGATTTCAGTGCAAAGTACATTTTACCTTTTTCTGTACCAATTACTTGACCAGATTTCTCTCTCCTGCTGCTTTCTGAATTTTCCCACCTGAAGAACAGTTGCATCTTATGTAATGAGAAGGAAGTTGTCTGTATGTTGGGAGATGGGGTGAGCACATGCCTACTTTCCCTCTTAAGCCCAATTACTCCTCTGATTCTATCTCTGAAGCTCACATTAGTCTTCGGTACATCTGGGAAAGCTCACATTATTCTTGGGTCTCTGGCTGTAGGGAAAGTAGCTTTATTATTAACCTTTAAACTCTGTGTTTTCTGTCTTATCTCCTGTGGCTCTCTGTAGTGCATAAAGCAAGCTCAGAAAAACACTTTGCCTACACATACAGAATGTAGTAGTGCTTTTACAATGCAAAATGCTTACCGGGGCAGGTGTTTTGGGTGTGGAAGGTGGCAAGGAGGCAGAGGCAGCAAGAAACTTTAGGAGACTTAAACCGTAAGAAGTAGTGTTGTGCAAAGCTTTGGTCCCTGATTCGATTCAGCAGAGATTTGACCCAATTCGGTGGCTGAATCGCCAAATCTGAATCGAATCAGAGGACCCTTTAATGTCTCTGAATAGAATCAGAACCCTCCGCATTGATTCAGAGAGATTCGGAAATCAGACATAGACACAGCTTTAAATGTTTTTTCTTCATACCTCTAGGTATCCGGCGGCTCGTGAATGCTGCAATGCTGGAGTGCACGGAGCGTCCCATGGGAGTGCGGGGGGCTTCCCAGCACTCTTGGCAGCAGAAACACTCCAGTCCACTTCTGGGTCCACCGGGGAACATGCTGAGGGCCTCCCCCAGCCCTCCTGGCTTGGTGACTGGTGCCTCCTAGGTCTGGGGGGAGCACCTGGGGTCTCCCCAAAGCCGACTGCCAAGCTGGGGAGACGTAGGGGGGCTCCCCTGTGCGCTCCCCAGTGGACCTGGAAGTGGACTGGAAGTAGTTCCGGTCCACTTCCGGGTTTGCTGCCGAGCACATGGAGGACCCACCTCGAACTCCTGTGGGACACTCCATGCACCCCAGCATCGCAGCTTTCACAAGCTGTGCCTGGTACCTCGAGGCATGTAGAAAAAACTTTTAAACTTGTGCCTGTGTCCAAATAGCTGATTCTCTGAATCAACATTAAAGCTTCAGATCTGGGTTTGGCTGAATTGAAGCAGGGACAGTGATCCGAATCAACAAATTGAATCACTGTCCCTGATTTGGGCTGAATCCAAATCCAAATCAAATAGGGCCCGCTTTGCACACCCCTAGTAAGAAACAATGTGCCTGAAAAAAGGGGTTGGTCTAGAGGTAGAAGGTAAAGGTTGCACAGCAGAATAGTTAAGCATGGGAAAGGTATTTTGAGGGCACCTTGGCCCATACCATTGATGGCCCTAGCTAATGGCTCACATCAGTGTTGTGAGACATATGACAAGTTTTGAACTGGATGGTAAATCTCATACACTGGCCAAAATGTATGATAATTCAGGGAGATCCAGAGTCCTTGCATTTAAGAGGAAGTTTTGATAATTAATCCATTTTCCATCTTTAAATGATCTTAACACTGTCTTAGTGTTTTCCCTTCTGCACACAGCCTCACAGACACATGGCACATGTAAGTGTGCTTCTTAAGACAAGTGTGTAACAGCAGAGGACAGCAATTCTGGAATGGAATTTGACTGAGCTATTAAAGTCCTAAGAAGTGACAGGGCATGAAATGAGCAAAATATTTGCTATTTATGGTAACATGATTGCATATTAAGGATGAAAAAAATCATGTCAACATATTCTTATATGTTTGTGGTTCACAATGTATTTTTTGTTAAGTACCACAATTTTAAAGGTCCAGTACAAGATTTCCATTTTTCAAATCTGACAACTCTGCCTCTGGTGCAACTGCTATTTCCTTATAGATATGCTAATAAATTCCCAAGCAGGAGGGGAGCAGAGACCAGGTGTTGATGACCAATACATGGAACTCTGCACTTCCTGGCTGCAACTTTCCACTTGCCTGAGATCAGTCATTTTTTAAGGGGCCAGTACAAGTTAAAATTATGTCTGAGATGAGGGAGGTTGTGGCACATGACATCTGGTAGATCTGTTGTGTGATCGTGGGCATTATTGCAAATTCACAGAAGTTTGCACTTTTGCAAAGTCAGCATTTTGCATTTACACAAAGTATTGCTGACTCTTTGGCTGCAAACAGACACCACATTTAGCCCAGGATAAACCATTTTATCCCGGTTCAAAGTGCATTTGTACAGACGTCTATGTCTGCTGCCCTGGGAAAATTCCTAAAAAAGTTTCCCAGGTAAGAGGTAGTAGCAGTTTTTTCCAGTTTATTACAAAGTATGCTTGTACAGTTATCCTTGGATTGCATCATTGAATCAATGGCAGAAAAGTGGCACTGTATTTAGTCACTCGCTAAACTCTCACTAGAAGAGTGATGTACATGCCAATCCCAGGATATTTTTATTCTGGGATAAACACAGGCACTTATTATCTGTTTCTAGCTTTAATTCCCATGTGATCAGGCCCAACAGGAAAGCTGGCAAAATCATATATGAACTGAAACTGGAAGGGCTCCACCCACTGCCTCTGATAAATCTGACTCAAGCTGGATATCGAAATACATGAAGAGTTTTCCTTCCTTACAGCTAGTCTATTTTTTGTGCAAGCTTCCCCAGGGAAGGAGAATTAAACAATGGCAGGGTCACAGTTTCTCAATGATACAGGGAAAATGGTTAAAATGATCCTGTATACACTGGGCTTTTCAAACCAAACATTTCAGATGTCCTTCAAATATTAATTCACACCTGGAGAAAAGGACATTATTTGTGATGAAGCAGTGGTGAGGCTGTACTTTTTTCTTCATCAGTTTGCTTGATCAGATTAGGCACATATATTTTACTTTGTTGCCTTGTAAAGGCAAGTCAGCTGATTATAAGCCCCATTTCTTTGGTAAACAGCCTGTTGTAGGAGACAAACTGAGCAATACAATAACCTAGAGGCTAGACAGTGGATATGCAGATATTGCTACAGCACAAATATGAAGACACAATCAATACAGTTTCTTCTTTCTGTCTTGTAAAAAATAAAGATATATATTTGGGTGAATGGCAAATAGTGAGCTTTCTTAACCAACAATCTACATATCACCCTGACAATACTATGTGGCTTACACCACTGTAGATAATCAATATTTTAAAAATCTTTTTTTCTCCAAAATTTTACTTGCTACAACAGATTTTGTTTTTCCCCCATAGAACATTTGAGAAGGAAACACAACCAAATTTGAATGGAGACAAAACAGTAAAACATGGAGAACAGCAAGACCCTTCCAAAAGAGGGAGGGATTTGCATTTTTAAAAGAAGGAAATCCGTCCCCACTGAAAGAAGGAAGAAGACTTTCTATAAACATTGTTTACAGAAAAGTACTTCAATACAGAATACAATAAGCAAGAAGTTTGCCCAACTTTAGTTCTGTCTGTTGGAGTATGCTTTCCTACAGCAGTTGCTTAACAAATTCTAAATGGACACTAAGCCAGTTTTATGAAAATAACAGAATCCACTCCTGTAATAGACTTAATCAGAATACGCAGTATCATTATGCTACTCTCTGCATTTCACTAGAAGTCTGTACATTTAACAGGGGGAGAGGAGAATACAATATTCACAGCCCAAACTATATTTTCTGCTGTAAAACCCATTGGGGAGGCCATTAGAGGATGCAGATGTGACAATTTTCACCTGATCTGGCCCCAGAAAGTGGTCTACAGCAATGACCAAACACAAGAGCACAGCTGCAGACCACTTTAAAAGGGCCTGATCCCGTGACAATCTGAACCCTCCTTGTATGAGGGTTCAGATGAAGGCGCTCCAAAACAGAGTACCTTCATTGATTTCTGTCTGGGCACACCAGGAGCAGTGCTCAGCTGACACAATCCAGTTCTGCTCCCTGTGCTGTTTTCAGAATGGGAGGGGGCAAAGGGAGTGGAGGGAGATTGTTCTGGGGTTTGCCCAGCCGGTGCTGGAGGGTGGGTAGAATGCAGCCCCACTATGGGGGGGGGGCCTCCAATCCATCTGCTTCCCAACTCCAGCTGGCTGGGGCACCCCCAGAATGAGCTCCCTCCCCTGAATTCTCCCTCCTGCCATCCACACACAGCGCCAGGGTGGAGTTTGGGGAAAGATGTTGCAGAGATGTACCCTTTGCGGAGACACAGCTCCAAATTGGAACTAAACCGCCACCCTCCCAGCTCAAAAGTTCAGGAGGATTGATCTAACTCATGGGGCTTTCTGTGAAGCACCATGAGTTTGATTAGGGAGCTGCATTTCTGTTTGCACCCACAGATGCATCTTCAGTGCAGATTCTACACCTGGCACAGTCTTTTAAGGCACAGACAGAAGTGACAATATTCACCTGATCTAGCTCCTGAAAGTGCTCTATAGCTCTATAGCTATGACCAAACAAAATGCATGGTTGCAGACCACTTTAAAAGGGCCTGATCCCACAACAATCTGAACCATCATTGCATGAGAGTTTAGATGAAGATGCTCCAAAATGGAGTGCCTTCAGTAAGTTGTGTCTGCATGTGCTGGGAGCAGGGCTGCGCTGCCACAACTCAGTCCTGCTCCCGGAGCTGTTTTCAGAATGGGAAGGGGGAAAGGGTGTGCAGGGAGTTTGGTCTGGGATTTTTTCAGCCGGTTCTGGAGGGTGATGCGGGTAGGTTAGACCCCCCCCCTCCCCCAAGTTGGGCTCTACTTCCTTTCCCCCCTTCCAGTCTCAGGTGCTGGGAGCGGGTAGTGGCATTGCTACAGGAGAGCAGCAGCTGGTCTAAACAACAGCTTGATTCCCCAACCCTCGGGACCAACACCTTCTTAGCAAGCCAGGAAACAATGCCCACCCTGTAGATCCTGCTGACACAAATGTAGTGTGGTTGTTTTTGGGGGCTATGCCTGGGGTGCTTTCAGGGTCTCAGTCTTAGGCATGTTCCAGAGGGTGGTATTGGGTGTGTCTGACTCCCCTCCCACAGCAAGCACACATTTATTCAATGTGCAGTGCTTATAGAATAGGCAGTAGCATAACTAAGGAGGGCAACTAGGGCAGTATCCCCAGGCCCCACCTTTGGGGGTCAGGCAAAAATAGCCACTGCTGCATTTGTTGGCTGGCCGCATGCTGCTGCAGGCACTGAAGTGGCTCAGGAGGTGGAGCTGCCCTGTTATGCCTCCAGCAGTTTTGGGATTGCCATGGGGATGGTACAGACATATCTTTATTGTTACTATGTTTTTAATGTATCAGTGTTTCACAGTTCCACTAAGGATCTGTGTGCTCCCCACCCCTCAAGTTAATAGATTGCCACATAACTTGAGATAGGTAACACCTTTTTAGAGGCTGGGTTGGGTCCTCCTCAGACATTGCTAGCTTGGTACATAGCTCATGCATAAATCTAATTAATCATTGCAGGTTGATTGCAGGTTGAAACTAATCATTGCTTCATGAGTGTGGGAGAAACTCAGCCTTTGGTAATGGATTTTGCCCTCCACCTTAGCATGTGATTCAGGAGTTTTCTGAAGAGCTCATTTGTTCTGACAGCATTTTGCCAGGGGTAACTGGGAAACCTATCATATTTAGTGTTGCATGATAACCTGACAGTATCCCAGGCAGAGCAAATCTCAGGTGAAAAGAGTGTTCAGGTTAGAAAAGGAAATTAAAGTGTGGGTGATGAGGGGGTGGCCTTGATTTAGAAACCATGGGAAAGATTTCCCCTGCCGCCTCCAAAAAAGTAATTAAAAAAAAGAAGAGTTCAGGGCCAGGCTTTCAAGTATTGAGCTTGTTTTAGTGTGGCCTGATTTTCAAAAAAGCCTCAGTCCCATTCAGGCATAGGAATAAACTATACCTTTACAAGCAGACTGGCATTACTGTGCCCATATGAGGGACTGCATGAGTTTATATCAGTACAAACTGTATGTGTAGACCAGCCTAAGGGACAGATGTTTAAAAGTGGCCATCAGGCAGCAGTTTCCATTTGGATGCTTGGGCTAGGGACAGAAATTGCATATAAACTGGTATAAATGATTGGAAATCAGTTCAAATCTGTAACACAATAGAAGTTCAGTGCACATAAATTGCTTTCAAAATGTCCAAAACTGGTTTAAGATAAACCTGGATGGATGTAGTATTAGACCTAACTGATTTCGGTTAAATTGGTTTACTGAACTTCTGTCCCAGATCCTCTTCAGATTCAAGTAAGCTCAGTTCCCCAGCATCCCAGGTTTCTTTCCACTTCCCCCCCACAAACCCCTCCCTTGCAGGGTGCATGGGCTAGCCTTGGCCCAAGTTATAGCTCCAGTGCCCCCCAGCTTCTGACCTGAGCCACTGCAGGCATGTGGCTGCATTTCCAGAATCAAAAGTGAATGCCTGTTCACTTGCTTATCGGTTCAATCTATGCAGCTTAGACTAACCTGTGATGACTGAATTGATTCAGCCTAAGGTTTTTTCACTGTCTATACATAGCCTTGATGGTCACGTTTTAGAAGTGCTTTCATCCAACATGCAGATTTTATTTGAAAATCACGTCTCTTATTTAGGGCCCAAAGGGAAGCTGTCAGCTACATAAAGGACATGGGTATCTCAGTCCAAAATTGCAGTCCTCAAACCATTCCCCCAGATTATTCAGTGCCTAACACTGGTGGTATCTACAGTTTGTAGGCATCTCAGTTTTCACAGTAAAATTCCTCTGGTGTGTCAAGTTCTTCTGGATATGCTCAACAGCA